TCTCTCTCTCTCTCTCTCTCTCTCTCTCTCTCTCTCTCTCTCTCTCTCTCTCTCTCGCTCACTCGCTCACTCACACACACACACTCACTCACACACCTGCTCGTTTTACCTACTTTGTGGGGACGAATGAGACAATTTTCACATCTTTAAGTTCAGCATAGTTTCAGCTACAAAAGCCATTCAGGTATCAAAATATTCAGCTCTTCAAGGACACTCCTGTTTGTATATATTTCATCTCATCCTTCAGATAATTCAAAAAAGAACTTCAGCAAACTCTTCTCATCCTTCTGCCATTTTGTCTATTGATTTCAGGCATTTTCAGAACAATGCATTACAAATCTTGCATCCACATGTGCATTTTCTTCAGGAAATGCAATTTTTCTAGTTCTTATTCTGATTTTTAGGTCCATTTTTCAGCACTTAATTTCTTCAGCATACTTTCAGCTACAGAAGCCATGAAGCTATTAAAATGTTCAACGCTTTAAGGACATTCCTGTTTGTAACATTTATACTTTTTAAACTATTTAGGTTTTTTCAAATGAATGGGAACAATTTTCACATCTTAATATCTTCAGCATACCTTCAGCTAAAACCACCATTTCAACTAATAACTATGCAGCAACTCTTCAGCTTTTCATACCATAAACAGCTTTTTGATATTTGTTATGGTTTTTGCATAATTACCATTTACATTTTATGACTTATTTCAATAGCCACACTCTAGTATCTCTGTGTGTAGGACTACTCTTTTTTTCTCATACACACACATACACACAAACACCTACACACCCACACACACAACACTACTTCTTTTACCTACTTTGCGGGGACCAATAGGAAAATGTTCACATCCTAATAAGTTCAGTATACTTTCAGCTAGAAAAGCCATTCTGGTATCAAAATGTTCAGTTTTTTTCAGGACATTATGGCATATACTCAAGGTTTTTTACAACTTTCATAGTTTTGAAAATATTCAGCATTTATTCTGACAATTTTGCCCCATACAAATGAATGGGGAAATTCAACTTCAGCATAATTTCAGTTATCAAAATGTTCAGCTCTTCAAGGACAGTCATTTCTAAACTTCATACTTTTATAATATTTAGCTTTATTCTGAAAATCGTGCCCCATTCAAACACATGGGGAAATTCTATACTCAGCATACTTTCAGCTATTTTAGGTATCAAAATGTTCAGCTCTTCAAGGACATTCATGCTCGTCTTAAGGATTTTTCTAAACCTTATACCTTTGAAATATATAGCTTTATTTTGAAAGTTTTGCCCCATTCAAATGAATGGGAAAATTCTACTTCAGCATACTTTCAGCTATTTCAGGTATCAAATGTTCAGCTCTTTGAGGACATTCATGCTTCTCTTCAGGATTTTTCTAAACCTTATACCTTTGAAATATTTAGCTTTATTTTGAAAGTTTTCCCTGATTCAGATGAATGGGAAAATTCTATCAGGTGGCAAAATGTTCAGCTCTTCAAGGACATTCATGCTTCTATTCAGAATTTTTCTAAACGTCATACTTTTTAGACTATTCAGTTCTATTCTGAAAAATCTTGCTCCATTTAAATGAATCGAAATATTCTACTTCAGCATACTTTCAGGTATTTCAGGTATCAAAATGTTGAGCTCTTCAACGGCGTTCCTGCTTGTATTTATTGCATCTAATCCTTCAGATTATTCAACAAAGAACTTCAATTGATTTCAGGCATTTTCAGGGCGTTCCTTCAGCATCACAGCATCCAGACACATTTTTGACAGGAAATGCATTTTTCTAGTTTGGCTTTTACTTCCTTTTGGAAGCGTTGTCTGCAGATGATGAGCCAGATCACCATTGACACCTAATGGATTGTTCCGTGGGTCATACCCTAGTTGTTCAAAAATCTGTTGTTACACAGTTCATACAGTAGCTGACTGTCTTTTCTTAAGGTGCCTCTCTATTAATTTCATTTCAAATTCCTTGTGATGGCATACAGAGCCAAAATAATAACACTGATACCAAACCGATACCTATGAACCAGACTGTATATGTTCCATGATATGTTGTTTGACCTGTGGGTTTTTCTCGTCATGTAGTTGATTCCTGAGTTTTATGGGAATGATTGCAGCTTCCTGGAAAATAAGCTGTGTCTTGATTTGGGCAGAAGGCAGAATGGACGCTTAGTTGGTGATATCATTCTGCCACCGTGGGCCTCAGGTAACTTGCTGTGTATTGAACCATTCTCATCTCATGCCAACATGCACCTGAAAACATAACCTTCCCCTGTTGTCTCTGTGCTGCTATTAGTAAATAAACTCATGCTCTGTATGCTGCTGCATATTTACTCTTTATTATGATTCCAGATGCTAGTGACTTTCTTGAAAAGCACAGGGCAGCACTGGAGAGCCAGTATGTGTCAGAGCACCTTCATGAGTGGATTGACCTGGTTTTTGGCTTTAAACAGAGAGGAAGTGAAGCTGTGGAAGTTTACAATGGTAAAGTAGCAGGTGACTATTTTAAACTTCAAACCTACCAAAACTGGGCAAACTCTCAAATTTGCCTCATTGTCTTTCAGTGTTTCATCCGCTGACATATGAAGGTGGCATAGACTGTGACAGGTATCGGATAAAATCCTTCCAGAATTGTGATTTTAAATGTTTAATTTCAACAACTACCAAACCTGTTCCTCCATCTTTCTGCAAAGCATTGAGGACCTTGATGAGAGGATTGCCATGCTGACTCAGATCCTGGAGTTCGGCCAGACGCCCACACAGCTGTTCACCAGCCCACATCCTCACAGGATCACACCGCGGATTAGTAATGTTCCTCAAAGCTCCAGCATCGTGCCACATGTCAGCAAACGGTCTCCAGGTAGCACTGAAGACACACACAGTAGTACACAACCTAATGTCTCTGCTGTTCTTCAACCCACACCGTGATTAATACTGACAAGATGTGTAGCAGTGAAATGCTCAGTAACTGTGCATTGTGTGGTAACTGTAATATTAGTAGAAGGCAAACATACAGGTATGTCCAGCTACGATATGAATTAAAGTGTGACAAAGAAGGGATGTTATTTGCCATCCAGTGTTATCCAACATGTAGTCTGAGCGATTCTGTTTCCAGCACATGTCCACGTATTCCTGCAGCAGTTATCCACGTGTTGTTTTCCAGTTTCTCAGTGTGAGGACTTGTTTGAGGACTTGACTGAGGACAGCAGGAAGCTGGCGTGGACAAACATGGGCAATCTGACACTCGTCTCCAGCCACAAGATCCATAAACAGTAAGTCACAGGCATCCAGTCACAAAGTGCACATTCAGCTGTGTAAATGAAAGGGCTGGCTCCAGTGTGAGAAAGTGCCTGCAAAGCATCTTTAAAAAAGAGAAACTTATTAAAATGTACAGTTTGTGAGGACACTTACAGAGAAATCGGGTGGCTCCTCTAAAAACCACCATCTATGGAGTAGGAAAATGGCCAAGGTAGTCATTTATAAATTGTTTCATAGGCCTTTAGCATTTTTACTTTTATGTCAGTTTGCCTTTGCTAAATGTGACAGTGACTGCTACATGAAGCTAAATACAGTATTTCCTCCCTTCCGCATGTTCTGGGAAACGTACAGAGCTGTGACGAGCATCGCTGTGACTCAAGATGGAGCAACTATTTTCTCTACATCACAAGGTCTGATAATATCTTTAAATCTCTATCCAGAGACAAATATAGGTTATTGAAAAAGACAGGCATTGTCGCTGCTAAGAATTTAGTCAAATAAAATGTTGGTATAATATAATTGAAGGCCAGTTTTCACAGTAGAAATATTCACGTCCAGTGATGGTTACAGATTTCACCCAAGCCATTTGTGTAGAATAACAATAATAATCACACACGTTCTCATCAGTACATTACAGAGCAGTGTTTCCTAATTATTTTTAAAGATATTGTGATGTATTATGGTGTTTACAGTAATAAAAACAGTAGAGTGTTTGACTAAATATAAAAAACAGCTTAGCTGTATCGTTGTCCATGAAGTGATTTTATAGTCAGGAGGTACAGCTATTGAAAAAGATTTAGATTGGATTAAAGGGCAGTCTGTGGTTCAGTCGAAGTAAGAAATAATGGGCCCAAATGGAAACTGCTAATTTTTTACATTTATTTTTTATTTAACATTTTTTTTCTTTTTTTTGCAGTTATTCAGGATGAAAATCTGTGGTGTACTGCGGAGTGTTTTAGTTTTCTTTTTTGCTTGTAATGTAAAAGGAAATATTCATTTAGCTGACAATGATAATTTTGTAAAGTAAGCATAAAAATGCATTAAAGCAATCTTGAGCAGGGTGAAAGAATTCACTTTATATGAACTTTTTTCATTTCATCAACATTTCCAGACATTCAAAGTGTGAACGTTTGTTGGAAATACCACCAGCATAATTGAAGGACACATGGCCACTGAAATACAAAGCTCAGTTTAGACGTAGGCTACTGACTGACCACCAATAAATAAAAGGGGGGCCTGGGATAATGGTGTGTGTTTTCAGACAATCTGGCCAGGAGTCATTAATATCTTATAGGCTGGTGAGGAGAACAGTTTCAGAAGATGACATGAAAAGTGCCACAGGTTGTTGTGTAAGGAATGAAAAAGAAGCACTGGACAGAGATGTACAGCCAGCCAGTCTAGGTGTGAAGTAACATGTGTGGCTCCCAACTCTTCCCACTCCCAAGAACAGGCAGTAGCGCAGAATAAATAAAAGCAAGAAGCAGTTTTATTTTCTTTAGAGACAAACAGAGCCCAAAACAACAAACAGAACAACTCAGTTTCCCTAATCTACCCTGACAACAAAAGAGAGTGAAGTTTACTACCCTGGACTCATAAACCAAAGTGCATTCAAACAAAAATGGCTTCTCACTCCTACTGAAACTGCTGTGGTTAGGAGCTCTCTGTATACAGTGACTATTCACAAAATGTTTGCCAAAATCCAATAGTTACAAATAAATCAAGCTCAGAACTACAGGTTTAACAAAGTCACAGCTTTAAAATGTAAAACGTAAAATTTAGTCTGCCACTGCTTCACATGCTTCTTACCAAAGGCTTTTGTGTCACTTAATACTTCAGGAGTTAAAGCAGTAATATTCATATTGTGGAGCAGGACTATGTCAGACTGTCTGCAGTCTGAGAACTATATGTATGTACTGACCACTGACTGCATTCAGCTTGTCTGGCTGATAAAAGTCACCATCAACCACACATTTACTCTGTTAACATGGTCTCCCTTCACTTCTGTAACCAGCAGTGTGCCGGCATGGCCAAATGGAGCGCAGCCACTCACTGTGTTGCATTTGGTTGTGCCGGCATGGCACTTCTTACATAGCAATAAGGACGGGGAAACTGATTTAAATAGAGTGCAGGCAGCACATGAGGTGGTGATATGCAGCTGATCTTCATCAGCTGATCAGGGTAATAGTAGAAAATAGACTGTTCTTTCATACTAAGCAACATGATGTTTCTGCTTTTGAAAACAAAGTGAATCGCCTACATGACTGACAGAATACTGTCCCACAGAGCCCAGAAACCAGTGCACCATCTTTATATCAAACGTGAAATGTGGGCCATTATGCTGATGAACAGTTAATCCATGTCTGTATGACAGGACAACAGCCCCCAGTGCAATAAACCATAAATAAAACTATTGCACATAATCTCACAGCTCTTTTGCCACAGTGTGTATGTGTGTGTATTTCTATCTTTCTCCTGTTCTCCTTCCTACCAGCACACTGAGAGCCTCTGCACCACAGACAAATTCCTTGTGTTTAAACATACTTAGCCAATAAACATGATTCTTATTTACCTTTCAGATCATCTGAGAAAATAAAAAGATAATGATTTACTATCACACATTATGGGATGGTGATAGACACACTTAAATATTACCAGCACATTACAATGCTGGTCATGGATCCTAGAATTCACAGTGAGGGGCAGATGTAGAGGAAAAACTGTGTTAGACTATGTGTCATTTATAGCAGAGTATTTTTATATGCCAATATAAACATTAAAATGTTTCTGAGTAGAACTTTAAGTAATGAGCTCATTGTGTTTTTATGATAATGTTGCTGTTTTATAGGATAGAGTTGTATTTCGTACTTTTGAGTTAAGCACTTTGTGACTGTTGATCTGGGACGCTGCTATACTTTACTTACTTAATTACTTGCTTCCAGCACAAACCGGCACTGTGACGGTTGGATTATCGAGTGCACCTGCTAACACACTAAGCCATAGGGGTGGAGAGAGACCTGCCAAGGAACAGGCAGATAAACAGAAATGAGCCAGGGTCAATACACTACTTCTCCTTCACCGTAGTGTTATTGTTTTATCATCAGGGAGGACTTGTTCTCTTTATACTCACCCGTATCTTTATTCCAGATTCAACACTTAAGATGTTTTCCAAAGAGCTGAAGGAGCTGCAGAGAAGCATGTCCTTCTCTAATATGGTATGACTTTACTTTCTTGTTTGCTGTCTCTCCCTGTGTTCCTCCTAGTGATCTCTCTCTGCTGTTTCCACCTGTTTTTCAGGCATTATCGTCATGTTTGATACTAGGAGATGGCAAAACTGTGGTGTGTTCTTCATGGGACAACAATGTGTATGTACAGTATACAGTATGTGTATTTGATGTGGTTTGTAAACTGATTTCTTAGTTTCTCTCTTAACCTAAACGTCCCTGTCCTCTAGCTATTTCTACTCCATTCCGTATGGTAGACGGCAGGACACGCTGATGGGCCACGATGATGCAGTCAGTGAAATGTGTTGGTTTGATGACCGACTGTACACAGCGTCCTGGGATTCTATGGTCAAGGTAAAAAGTAAACCTCTTTAAAAACATCAGCACTTCCAGTTCTCAGATCCTCAGGCAGATTGTCCCAATCGCTTGGAGCATAACAACTTTAAAGCTACTTTACCTAATTTAGAGGGTCTATGAGAATCAGACCAAACTAATACCATATGCTGCCTTTAAATGCCCTTTGTCTCTACCACCATGTCCTGTTGCCTAGCAACAGTGCAAGCTACAGATCCCCAGTTTTGACAAACAGTAGGAGCTGCGCCTACAGTCCTAAAGTAGGATTAGCTGACTAACCAGTAAATTTGCCAGTCCAGCAGAAAGGTCTGGTGCTGTCAGTGTTATATACAGTATATACACCACCAGTCACAAGACTGAAAACAAATTCTCATTCAAAGAAAGCGTGTCCAAATGTTTGACCAATATATCTCACTGAATTTTCCAAAAGCTACTCAAAACATATATAACAGTAATTTAAATATATTTTAAACACATTTCCCACCAGAGCCTAAAGTCAACATGTCGAAAACCATTCGGACTGCTGTGAACCAGGACCACTGTGGTTAGGAGGCGTTTAACACAACAAGACTATTATATACCAAAGAGCTGGGCTGCACGATGATGGCAGAAATCATAATCGCAATCATGTTTGTTAATCAGATCACAGTTGATAGTAGTTTGATATTAGTTTATAAAGTTTAGATATTATCTTCTTTGAGTTTGTAAACTTCATTATCTCTTCAGCAACATGGAAGGTTGTAGTGGGTTGTTGATTATATTGATCTTTGATTTAATTATGGATTTTAACTGTTGGTACTGGAGAAATTCTCCTCTCCCAACTCTGTACTTCTGGACTAATGTGTTGAACGGTACAAGCTGGTTGTTTTCATATAGATCATTTTTACGAAGATCTTCAACAGATCACTAGAGCTTTGTGTGGTTCCCTTCTGTTTCAAATGCTCCATCATCATCCCACTTCCCAAGAAATCCTCCATCAGGGAACTGAATGACTACAGACCTCTGTCGCACTGACATCTGTAGTCATGAGGTGTTTTGAGAGGCTGGTATTGGCCCACCTCAAGGCAATCACAGACCCCCAGCTGGATTCCCTGCAGTTTGCTTATCAGACAAACAGGTCAGCAGATGATGCAGTCAACATGGCACTGCACTACACCCTGCAACACCTTGACTCACCAGGGACCTATGCTCAGATCTTATTTGTCGACTTCAGTTCAGCATTTAACACCATCATCCCGGACATCCTCCACTCCAAACTGACCCAGCTCACTGTGCCTGCCCCCACCTGTCAGTGGAGCACCAACTTTATGACGGACAGGAAACAGCAGGTGAGGCTGGGGAAAACCACATCCAGTACCTGGACTGTCAGCACAGCCCCCCAGGGGTGTGTGCTCTCTCCGCTGTTGTTCTCCCTCTATACTAACGACTGCACCTCAGGAGACCCTTCTGTAAAAATCCTGAAGTTTGCAGATGACACAACAGTCATCGGCCTCATTCAAGATGGTGACGAGTCGGCCTACAGACGGGAGGTTGATCAGCTGGCCCTGTGGTGTGGTCGTGACAATCTGGAGCTGAACACACGGAAGACAGTAGAGATGATAGTGGATTTTAGGAGCAACTCCTCCATCCTATCCCCGCTCATCGTACTCGGCAGCACTGTTTAAGTCATGGAGTCCTACAAGTTCCTGGGCTCCACAATATCTCGGTAGTTGAAGTGGACAACCAACATCAGTGCTGTTATTTAAAAGGCACAGCAGAGGAGGTACATATTTCCTGCGTCGGCTCAGGAAGTTCAGCCTGCCCCAGGAGCTGCTGATACAGTTCTACAGGGGAATCACTGAGTCTGTTCTCTGCTCATCCATTTCTGTCCAGTTTGTCTCAGAAAACAAACAGGACAAGAACAGACTCCAGCGGGCAGTCAGATGTGCAGAGAAAATCATCAGTGCCAGCCTGCCCTCCATGGAGGACCTGTAAGCATCACGGGTCAGGAAGAGGGCAGAGAGGATTTATGCAGACCCCTCACACTCTGGATACAAACTCTTTGAACTCCTCCCCTCTGGACAGCGCAGGAGGTCACTGTGCACCAAGACAACCAGGCACAGAGACAGTTTCTTTCCCCGGGCTATTACAGTGATGAACAGCTAGTCTATGTTGCTCTTTTAACTGATTTTTAACTTGTATATATTGTGTATTTATTTTGTTTTTATGTTGTGCCCATTGGGGGCCATTGAGCTGGAATCTAATTCCTTGTGTTCTTGAAATACTTGGCAATAAAGTTCATGCTTATGCTTAAATAGATGATGTAGGTGAATGATTCCTTTGTGTTGCCATGTTGGAAAGTGGCTGGGGTTGTTATGCAGTTGAATGTCAGGGTTGTGCCAAACTGGAGTGTATCTACACGGTGTTGATGATGGTTTAGTGGTTTTGTTTGCTTTCCACAAGGCTGTCAGAGTTGCACAGATTGTGCTTTGTTTTTGCAGTTTATTTTCTTAATTGAGTATGGTAAGAAGGTGAGGTCTGCAACTGAAGTGTTTTTGCATTGATTCTGTTCTAGTTCTTTCCATGAGCTATTGTAACTGTCCTTCTGAATCCATTTAGCTAAATAAATAAATAAAAAGTTGATTTGATAAGAAGTAATGCTGAAAACTTTGTGCTTCTAGGCTGCCTTGTGGTTGATCTTCTGAAGTGTTGACAGGGAAATTTGGGATTTCTTGTTATTTCTGTAAAACTGTGAAGTTAGAGAATCAAATAATTTGAACCGTTTATCTGTTGGTGCTGTGGGAAGCATTGAAAGTTGTAGTTAATTTGTGGTAAAGTTTTCATTTTGACTGTAGCAATTTGGCCAGTGAGTGGGAGGTTGGACCGGCATTTGAAATCTTCCCCTTTTTTAGCAGAGGGGAGTAATTGAGGTCAAAAAGCTCTGACAGCCTGGGGGAAATACTGATGCCTAAATATTTAATGTTACCAGTGTGAAGTGGTAGGGGACAGTCTGTAGCTTCAGAATCCCAGGCATCTTCAGAGAAATAGCAGTGATAATTGATATGATTTGATTTGATTTGATTTGATTTATTCTTTCAAACATGCAGAACAGAACAAATGACAGCAACACACACACACATAATTACCCATATCCAACCAATGCTAATCCAAAATCAGTTTGCTTACACCTAGTACATGTTTGAATGGAGTAGGAAGAAGTCAGACTTATCCAGTCCTACCCCATAACATCATATTATACAAAAAATTTCATGCATCATTGGCTGCAAGCAGTATCTCTACATAGGTAATTGTCTTCTTCACCAACAAGTAATACACAGAAAATTAAAAC